TGGATATTTTAATCTTTGTAACACCTAGTATGTATGTAGTTGAATAGCAGAAATCTCATGTAAAAATTCCATTCACACAAATGTTTATCAATTTTAAAATATATTCTCTATCCATAGCCACTTACCGGCCTTAACTGTTTAAGTCATGTATGTCAAGAATGATGCATGACACTATTTTATTTTTTTCAAAGAAGGAATGGTGACGTTTTTTCTTTAACATAAGATCCAGTGATCCACATTGAAACCCATTAAATTCACAGTTTCGTGTGATATATATATATATATAAGTTATGCACTTAATTATTACATCAATGTTCTAAAGTAAACCTATTCTACATCTATGTATAAAGCAACTCAAAAACGACAACAAATTGAAATTCATACCAAATATGGGTGAGTACGTTGGTGGGTGATGCATTTATTGATTTCTTAAAAGTTATGTTTTCCGTAGATCTAAAAAATCTATATATAAATTATAAATCAATATATGTAATTCTTGACAATTCCATAATAAGAGACAAAACTATTTTAAATAATGCTAGTACAGCTTAAATAATACTGTATGTACACAATTGAACACCAAAACTATGGACCAATAATAGTACTATACCACTATTTATCATAATTAGATATGTGAAATAATGTACTAGTAATGAAACGAACAAAAAAAAATCGAAATTAATCAATTCTCAGATCTTGTCTTGTATTTATATATAACCATTCACGTGGGCCATTCAAAATTTGCATGAAAGCCACTCTTCTTCTCACAAAACAAAACTTCAATCTCTCTCTCTCTCTTTACCTCTCTCTCTCAACTTCAGAAATAGTCATAGGAGGTAGATCTAACCCAGAGAAGAGAAGACATACAGAATCGATGATTAGGGTTTAATCAAGAAGACGACTTTATGGTTAGGGTTTAGGTTTGGGATATGACTCATGCTCGAGAATGGAGAAGCTCTTTGACTACTACTCTTCTAATGGTGATCTTGCTTTCTCCTCTACTCCAACTCTTCTGTGTATATTCACGGGTAGGGGCAATTCGGGTATTTCCAGTAACTCCGGCTCCGGTTAAGAGACAAGAAGATCTAGTGAAGAAGTACTTCGGCGCCGGGAAATTTCCACCGGTGGATTCTTTTGTCGGAAAAGGGATCAGTGAGAGTAAGAGAATAGTACCAAGTTGTCCAGATCCCCTGCACAACTAGTAGAAGCAGTTTCTTGATGTTTTTATTTTTCATTTTTATTTATATTTTCTTCTCTTGTTTATGTTAATGATCAATCAACTAGTGTATTTTACCCAAAATACCTACGTTTTTCTCGATAATATAAGGGAAAAACGAGGGTATTTTGGATATTTTAATCACTGATCTATAACCTTTTCATATATAATCCTTTTCCTAGGAAATGTTATAGTTTATATAATTTTATAATTGCTTTTCTGCATTTTGATATCTGCATAAGATGACGAGTATCACCCCTAATAATTGTTGTTTATTAGACGACAGAGTCCTGGTTTTAAAATAAAAATCCTGATCATTTCTTCTTGGTAACTTGTCATTTCTGATGATATAACACATTCATTAGCAGCGAATCAAATTAAAAGTATATAAATATCATTGATTGAAACTATGTTCCAAATTATACACTCATAGATTAATGTTCATAGAAATATATACATGGATATATAGAGAGATGGTTTTACTTTTGGTCAATAGAATGTTTGTGTGATTTAATATGTTTTTGTACATTCTTTTATTTTCACCAAACCGGGAGATTATATATATTTAATATTCATAGATCATATACTCAAGTTAAATATTCTATTGCATGGCCCAGGGAATTTAACTTCAAAAAAATAGGTTACTGATGCAATTATTTGTAACAACAATCAAAACTAAAACCACGGCTATAAAATTTGAAGAGCAAAATGAAAAATTGTGCATGGTGGGAGTTTTTAACCACCGTCGGATTATTTGACTTTCTAGTAGGAATAGTGGTGTTGAGTGTTGACCGTAAGTATTTATATGACTATATGAGTCATAAAAGTGTGTTTGCTTTTGCCACTGACAAATCCAAAAGCTTTTCCTATTTCCACAACCTAAGGCTCTAGAGTCAAATTTGTCTAATTAATAAGGAGACCGGTTTATAAACTTTCTAAACGAATACAAATGTTTTAGGTTTTAGAGTTTTTTCTGTTTTGTTAAAATGCTGTTCGATAATTCCAGTGTAAATTTTGAAACCAAAATTTTAGTTTACTTCTCGACCAAATATATAATTTGGTGTAATAAACATGAGCATATTTGTATATATATGATGATACTTTGTAAACCGGATAAAGAGAAATACAAAGCTTTACGTGTTAAATTAATCATCATGGCATTGAATCTTCTATTCGTAAAGATCAAAATCAATTTCATTGCATACATTTCTCTAGCGATCACAGTTCACAGATAAGCTTCGATCGATAAATTGATGATTAACTTAGGATATTTCTTTTGTGAAAGGGTTTGATTAGCTTAGGTATATTATGGCAAATACTATTAAAGAAGGTTTAATAACCATTGGGATTTGCGGACTAGTGAAAAGTTTAGTGAACACGAGACATCTGAGATTTTTTTTAAACAATCACGAAATGATTAAATAAAAGAAATGTTATGGACGGTAGCGTTTTGGAATTATTCTTGTATACTTAAAATATAATACTAACTCCATTGTACCAATTCTTTAATAAAATCAAACGGAGACAACTTGTAATCGATTGCAATGACCAAATTAAAAGCTTCATGCATGGGAATAAGTAAAACTGAAATCAACGTGACCTACTAAAAGCTTAGTACGAAATTTGATTGAAAATAATACTCTGTTTTACAAAGTGTGTCATTTTAGAGTTTTGCACACAGATTAAGAAAACATTAAATTTTTTGTTTTTTAAACAAAAACATCATTAACTATATACCTAAACATAATCTGCCCAATAGTAAGACAATATGCAGAATACTAATAGTCATAAAACATAAAAATCATTAAATTTTGTATTGAAAACCTAAAACGACTCTCTTTGTGAAACAAAAATAAAACTTTAAAACGACTCTCTTTATGAAACGGAGGGAGTAATACTTTTTTTTATCAATAACTTTGTAGTTAGATGAAATTAAGGTCCGAAGAACCAAGTCGAAAGAATATTATTTATATACATAAAATTTATTTTTCTGTTTATATATAAGTGTCGTTTAAAGTTTTGACATATATATTAAAAAAAACTAAATATTTGTGTTAACCTTTATTACTAGTAACATTTAATAAGAATAAAATGTAATTTTATCAGAATCTGGATTAGAAAATATGGAACGATACGTATTTTAAATTAAAATTTAGGATACAAAACAACATTTAATTTGAAATAGAAAGAGTATTGTAAATATGTTTAAATTGAAATCCAAGAGTAATAAAAAAATGTAGAAACAGTCAAAGAATAATGAAAGATTTTTTGTTTTTAACGTTTTAGAACTGATATATGATGCATTCCAAAAACAAATACTAGTATTCTTATGGTCCTTTCTAATGTACAATTTTTTAGTGAAAGTGTTTATAATGGTTTTAGAAATTAAAAATACATAATTTTCTAGTAATAAGTTCCTACCGTTTCCTTAAAACATGGGTCAAAACAAGTTCTATGGATTCATTTTGTTATCTAGGACTTGCAGTTTTCGAAATTCTTCCATCTTATTGCCACTTGATTGTATTCTAGTAATCAATTACGAAGTCAAGCATTTATATATAAAAAATTTGAAGCTAAATAAAAAAAAAGTTTGTAGAATAAGAGTTTAGGAAAAAGAGGTCTCGAATTTGGGTGTTTTATGAGAGACAGAGTAGTAACCAATGTGTGAAGCGCCACGTAATATGCGCCGAAGGGGTTTTCGTGTCTTCTCTTTGTTCCTTTCTGTTTGGATTTTAGAATCTCTTTGAATATCTCTTTTTTATTATTTTCACTAGATTAGTAGATGTTTTCTTTTTGAATTAAATTAGTAAATATTATTTTCTCGGTTCCTAATAATTTTGGTGTTTAGAGTTTCTTCACATATATTTAAAAAAAAATTATTTTTTAATTATTTTTATATGTGCTATGAATGATCAAGAAAAAATAATTAATAAACAGATTTGCAAAACAATGTATTATCCAAATGTGCAAAAATTACGTTTTGACAATAAAGATAATACTAGCTATTAACTTATGTTTTTTGGTATTCATAATATGGTGTCAGCCACAATATTTTGTATGATGATCTAAGTTTTTTAGGTTTAATTTTTTATATATCCGTTTAAATTAATTGACCTTAAAAATAATAATAAGATGACACTGTAACGTGTAACCTTATACATATACGAGACAAAATATATGGTTTAATTACTTGTTTATTAACACATTGGCTAATGTACGACTACAATATTATTTCCTTGAACTACTAACAAAGGGTATAAAGTCGGTCGATATCTCGACATTTTATGTAAGTATTGTATTTGTCTTACCTAAAACGTTAAGATCTTTTGTTTTCACATGATGTACGGTTAATAATTTGTTTGTCTGTTTGTTTTTTTGCTTTTAAATCTTGATGTACAACAAACATGAATCGTTTGGTACCCACATAATTTATTTTATGAAAGTCTAGAATTTTGGTGGATCAGAAGATCTTTTTTCTTTCTTTTTGGTAATAATAAATAAAAGAATAGATACAATGTTTATTGTTTATAAGCCATAAAACCCTTAGAGAACAATAAATATGATGAACTTCATCAAAGAAACTATCTACATACAATATTTAAGGAATTTTTCGACAAAAAAGAAAAGGAATTATGTTTCTGATTTTTTTTCTAATAGTAACTCTAATTATGTGAAACAAAAATATTTACAACATAAATGGGACACTAGAACACATTTCCTATCAACTGTACCTATATACAAAATTTAAACCAACAGTAAACAATTTAAATGTTTTGAAACTATATTCAATAAATTATTCTGCTGGGTATTAAAGATTTAAATCGGGTAATTTTTTATAAAGAAAACACTTTCTGGGCCATTACATTGAAAAAGCCCAAGGCCTAGTTTGCGGATACATATCAGACAACAAAGGAAACGTGAACAACAAGAAAACAACAGAACACAGATAAATGTAGCCCTAACAATGGTAAAGCTAGTTAACAAGTTGAAAGAAGATTCAATCTTCTTCTCCCAGAAGAAAAATCATCTTCTTTTCAAATCTTTGGAGATAGCTTTAATGGTGGAAGGTGTAGTCCTGCAACATCCTCCTATGAGTTTAGCTCCAAGGTCACGCCATTTCGTTGCAAACATCTCAAATTCATCATCACCAAAGCATTGTGATGGCTGCCAAATATCACCCAAAAATCAGAAGAGATTCATTTCTTCAACCTTAATGCAGTAAAATCAGACTTATAGATCATAATTCAACAAGACTGTAACTTTTATATTCATTCATTCTAGATTCTGAATATTGAATTGCTCGGTCCAGGTTTGACTGCAAATCGTCACTGATGCAGTTCCATAGCTACTATGATTGACTTATGAGACTGGTGCGATCATTTTTCTTCTACGGATACATTTATTTCCGAAATTAGATAAAAATAAGCGAGAAAACAACATACCAGCCATTGTTTCGCCTTTCCATCCCAAACCTCTCCGCTATTTGGGTAAACAACGATTGCCTTCTTGGTCAGCTGAAAAGAAAGAAAGTGACACAGAAAGTAAGACTTTTGATGTAGGTTTGTGATACAATCTAAAAGAAGTTTAAACTACTACTTACCTTAGCGAATTTGCAAATCAGATTTTCGATGAATTGAGGAGGAGCGCAGTTTATACCAACCGCATATATATTGTTGCTTTTGTTAAGAGCTTCGAGGCATTCCTCAAAGCTCTCTCCTGATGGAGCTTTCTCACCATCTACCGATGTAAAACAGATCCATGCTGGGATCTGCACTTTCTCTTCTTCCAAAAGCTCAACGCACGCCTGAAAATTTGAAGACTTACAAAATTAAAAAAGACTGATAACAACATTTTTGTAAGAAGCAATAATAGGCGGGCAAAAGCGAACCTGAGCCTCGAGTTTATTTGGTATGGTTTCAAAAGCAAGAAGATCAGGACCAGCTTCCACTAAGACTTGAAGTCTTCTCCTATGAAAGTCTTTTAGTTTATCCAAACTTACGTTCTCACCATAGTTTCCACTGCAAGAAGAACATCGAACAACTATAAGTTCCTCATCGAGAGAATCTTGAATCTATTCAAAACCAAAATAAATGTAATGTGAATCGATTAATTCTTAAAAAGGCACCTGTATTCAGAGCCATCAGCAAGATAAGCTCCATAGCTTCCAATAGATGCAGCTACAAGAGCTCTGTTATAGCTATGTCCTGAAACTTTGCTCACTTTGTCCCAGAATCTATCACGAGCTTCAACAGCTAATTGTACACTCTTTTGTAGCAAAGACTCGCTCTCTTCTATCGCTAAACCTCTCGAAAGAAACCCCGGGATAGTAGCCTGAAAAAAAACAAGCTTTGTAATCTTTACAATAACCAAAAAAGACTTCTTCAATCTTGACGTAAAGTATCTTTCTAAGTTCTGACCCTACAAATCTTTCTGTCGTCTTAATCTTTTAATCACCAGAAATTACAAAACCTTGAACTTAGATAGATTGTTAAACACGAAAGAGAATGAACAAATCAAATAAAATATTGGGTTGCTTCAGAATTTACCTGATAAGATGAAGTAACCACAATGTCTGCACCAGCTTCCAAATATTCCATGTGAACCTAAACAAATATATTTCATCAAACTCTATCCATTATTATACAAAAATAAAAACCCAGAGATCTGTGATTTCACCAATATATCAATCTCCAAATTCATAGCTTAAGATAATCATAACAAACCCTAAAGATGGTAATTTTCAAATTTAGGGATAAAATCAAAAACCAGAAATGAGGAAAAAATCAAAAATTTCACAAACCCTTTTGATGAGTTCAGGATTTTTGATGAGAGAAACAGCACTCCACAAAGGATCATTAATGGCGGCGCCGTGATTCTCAAGCTGGGTAGCGAAACCACCGTCGACCACCGCACAACCGCCGCATTTCTTTATCAAATCTTCCAACAATGCAGATTTTTTCTCCAAACCCATTTTGAAAATTAACTCAAAACCTCTCGAAAGATAGATTCAGACCAAATCTTCTCACGAGAAATTTTGAATTTTTTTTTCTTGTCGGAAAATCGAAAAAAATCAACGCCGCTTTTGTGTTTTTTTTTTCTTCCCTATCGAAACCACAACGGATGCTTCATGTTTCCCTCTACACTTATATGTTTGGATAATGGGCTTGGCTTAGGCCCACTACAGGTATTAAATTAAATTATTTATTTTCTTCGGAATATAATCTTTTGTGTTGACGCGTTTCTCTAATCTGTAAAAATAATATTATTCCTAATTTCAACTTTGCCGACGAAAATAAATAAATTATTTCCCGTTTTTCATATATTTTCCACCGTCAAACATATGAAATGGAATTTTCTTAAAAATGTTCATAGAAATTAAACACATTATACATGCGTACATCAACTTAATTTTGATCAATTTACCTACCAAATTTAAGTACTAAATTAAAATATCAAATTATATACATAAGAATTACAAACTGCTCACACTTTTATTGTTTGTTGCTTTTTGAGAGTTTCTATTTGTCACAATACGTTTACTTGTAATTCACTAACGTAAATTCCTACGGTTTTGTTTTGTCTATTAGCTAAATTAAGATCAACTCGATAAACGAGTTTAACATAGATTAGTAATTTGATATAGTATATGGGAATTTATATGAAGAAATGGGATTTTCTTATGTTCGATTACATATGTTTATACGTTGGTTACAAAATATGAAAAGGATCTCTAAATATTATTTTTATCGACCAAGAATTGTTAACAGGTGTGGCAAAGATGTAGCCGTAAATGCAGGCATGAAGAAAACAATTTTATTTATTATAGAATTTAATAGAAACAGATAACATTAACATGTGCAAAAAAGTTGTTCTTAGTTGTTTTCAAAGCTACTATATACGATCAGTCATGTGAAAGGTATATCTTAAAGTCATTGCCAAAGTATCAATGTTCATTCTTAAAGTATTTGTAAGAGAAACATATTATTTTGTTTATACAGTTTATAATATACTAATTATCGAAATAGAGTCTTTCACATTCTCCTTTTTTGAACGCTTACAATATTGTTTTTTACAAGAATTGTGAGTCGTTTATATTTCTCAATTAATTTTATTTGGGATCTTTGTCTTCTTTTTGTTTAAATATTGGGAGCAATTTCTCTATTGGATCTTTGAATGTTGAAAAACTACAAGTCTCCGGCATGGTATTGTTTGGTGGGTCAACGATGCACATTTCTTGTGCCTTGACTTTGAAGCAAAGCATATGTGGCATGGCTTCACCGTTATTGCAACATTTTAATATCAACCATATTTTTTTTTTTTTTGAATCTAATGTTAAATTATATTCAAAAGAAAAAATAAACGGTTTTACAACTTGTGCAACGGTTTGCTTAAAGAGAAAAGTTGAGTGAACAGAAATTTTTAAAATATCAACCATATTTTTCTCTTTAATCTTTTTATATCATTTACATATTTGACGAACCCTGACACATTTTTGAATTTTGCAGTAAAAAATTGACACATTGAATCCAAGTAGCTTAGGTTTGTTCAACCATTCGTAAAATATTTACTACAAGTTAACATCATTGTTTGTACCGAGGTTGTAACAACGAATAACTATAGGATTTTCGGAGAGAACGAAGTAACTTCTTTATTAACGACGAACGAGATCGGTTAGTTACAGGGAGAAATGACGAACATACAGACGATGAGCTACGAACAACCAATGAACGTATACGCAAAGAACTATGACTAACGAACGAAAGTTTACGAAGAGAACTACGAACGAAAGTATACGCTGTGAATAATTCTCTAATCCTCTGGATATTAACCACTGGGTCTTCTTGTTACCAATAGTGTATTATTTATAGGTTAATCATTGTGACCTAAGGTCTCTTCTGTTCCCTCAGTAAATTACCATTTTACCCTCCAAACTTGATGGGCTGAATTGGAGAGACAACAGGCCCGATAAATAGTTGGGTCTCTGTTTGGGCCAAATGGCATTTTGTGGGTGAAGCCCATATCCAACAATAAGCCCCCCCCCTAGTCCAGCAGACGAGAGTTTTCTTGAATCTGGTGAACGTGTCTTCTGAATTGGATATATGTTGATTTGGCTTAAACAGGGGCGCATGGCTTTTTCCGGTGATTTGTGCCGTGGGAACGTTTTTCGAGGAGCGCGGAGCTCGTTCCGACGATTTGTGCCGTGGGCACGTTTTTCGAGGAGCGCGGAGCTCGTTTCGGTGATTTGTGCTGTGGGCACGTTTTTCGAGGAGCGCGAAGCTCGTTCCGGTGATTTGTACTGTGGATTTTTTACTTCGGTAAACGCGCGTGGTACTGACACTTTTCTCTATATATATGTCCCCTCCTTTTACTCTTTTACCACTTTCATCTCTTCACTTTTCCAAAAGGTAAACTTTCTTTCTCTTTCTTCCTTATCTCTTTTGCTTTCTCTCTTTTTTTTGTGTGGTTGTGGTTCGGTGGAGAAGGAGATGTGGTGAAAGGTTTGGTTCGGCGCGAAGTTGAACCGGTGAGGAGCTTGGTTCGGCGGGAAGGTTTGGTTCGGCGAAGAGTTTGGTTCGGCGCGAAGTTGAACCGGTGAGGAGCTTGGTTCGGCGGGAAGGTTGGTTCGGCAAGAAACTTGGTTCGGCGGCTTGCGACGTGGAGAACGGTGGTTTGTTTGTGCAAGTAAAGGAGACCAAGAGGCGGTCCGTTCGGAGAACAAGCTTGGGTTTGGTCATTACGGCGGTGGTTTTAGCGTGAACCGGTTTGAAGAGGAGGGAAATTGTGTGGATCGTTCGTTGTAACCCGCGACTTGTTTTGGTTTGACGATGAATCGCGAATGGTTAGGTATGAACGGTGACGTAGCGAACCAAGGAGTTCACTATGGGGGGAATGATGAGTTTGGCTTGTCAATTGAGGACTTTGGTGGTCGCGATTTGGCGGAGTATTCCGGTGAAGTTGATGACGGAGACTTGGGAGAGATTGACACTTTATTGGGAATGGTTCCCGTGGTTACCAACTGTGGCATCGGAAAAACTCTGAGCCAACTTGAAGAGCATCGTAGATTCGATAAGTCGAGAAAGAGCGGTGAATACGGAGGCGACGAAGTTATGGAATGCAAAGTTACCGCGAACCCTATTGGAGATGTTTGGAAGAGGTCGGTTGTTTTGGGGCTTTGTTGTCCAAAATAAGCTACGCTTGGCATCGGATCGACGTCGGTTCCTGTTGCGCGTGATGGCGGGAAATCGTTATGCACTGTAGAGAGGTTAACCGATTTATTCGAGCAGGGAATTTTTCCCGAGGATTTGGCGATTATGGTGCCGAAACCGCATCGGCGTCCTTGGAATCCTCCCAAAGGATATATATGCGTATACGAGGATTACTTCACTGACGGCCAACTTCGCTTTCCTCTCCCAGATTTTCTCGTGCAATATTGTTTTCGACGGGGGATCGCTTTTTCTCAGCTTTCTCTTGGTTCGGTTCGCAATGCAGTTGGCTTGATGATGTTAGGGAACGACTGTGGTGTAGAAGTCGATACCGATCTTTTCGAAGAAGCTACTACTTTCTCTGTTATGGCAGATAACCCGGGTCTTTGTCAAGTGAACGCCAGGTCGAGTCACAAGATAGTTCATGGGGTGAAAAGTAAGGTTGTCGACTGGCGGTGATATTATTTCTACGTGCAAGTGTCTGAGATTTCGGCTCCGGCATCTAGCTCTTCTCTTGCTACCGAGTGGAACTTGTTTCCCGGTAGACTTTATTTGGATACGACTACATGAAGTGAATGCTTGCATGGTTTTTGATCGTATTTTGTTTTCTGTTTGCAGCGCACGATCCTCGACCACGTAAAGCTCGCAACGATATATCTGTGGGTCTACGTGCGATTTGGACGAGAGGATCCTTGTTTTGGCCAGGAGTTATCAAGTCGTCTTGTATTCGTACGTTCCTTTGCTAGTTCGTTTGTTTGATTATTTCGCATTCGTTCTCTTATACGAAAGTGTTTTGCAGGTTCACCGTCACGTTTGGAGATGGGGAAAGCGAGCTGTCGATTTCCGAATTATTCTGACTCATTCGGGGTGAGTGGTATAGTGCCGAGCGAGACCGAGACTATCCAGATCGATGAAGAGTCGGAGCAAGGAGTTGTGCAGCCGCAGCTGGTGGCTGAGCCGCAGCAAGACGTAGGTCCTGATGTTTCGGGGAGAACTGCGGTCGTTCCTGGCCGTCGAGCTGTTAGCGAGGACAGGGCGGCTAGGGTCTCTGCTGCTCGTTCCGGGAAGAAGAAGGTGTCAGGTTCGACTAACGAGGCCACCTTTCGTGTTCCCCCCGATGTTGATGTTTCCTTACGTAGGAAGGTTTCTCATGGAGGCCATTCGCGGGAGTCTTCTGGTATCGTACGAGAACGGGGGAGTTCTGCTCAAGAGGTCCGGGGAGTTGACTATTCCTTCTCGTTCAACTATGAGAAGAAAAACGAACCATTTCCGGTTAGCAGGAGTTCTTGTGGTGACTTCGCAAGCAAGGTGTACGGATCTCCTCACGAGTTTCCTCCCGTTGATTCTCTCCTGGGGATGAATCTTTATCAGACTTGGGCTTGCAAGCAGATTCAGGTTCGTTGGATTTCCATTTGGACAGGTCTTTATCATTTCTCTTCTTTCTATTTTTTGAGTTCTTCGAATGATTTTTTTGTTGTTCTCAGTCGATCAGTGCCGGAAACGCTCTTGTCGATTTTTACGATCGCCGAGCGAAGGATCTTGAACAGGAAACGGTCGCCCTTAAAGCGGAGAACAAGACCTTAGGTTTTTCTGCGCAAAATCGGTTGCGTGCGTTGAACTCGGAAAAAGGAAAGGTCGGAAATCTCGAGGAGCAGGTCGAAAGGCTTACGGCACAGCTTAAGAAGGCTACTGCCGAGGAGACTAGGCTAAGGGACTCGCGTACTTCTGCTGTTCGTTATGAACGAAACCGGGCTAAGGAAAAGATTACCAAGTACACTGCCCGAATTGAGAGGTTAAGGAAGCACATCCTTGATTGTCGAGCCGCGCAAGATCCTCTGTTCATGCAGTGCCAAGCTACGGGTACTCGGAAGTGCCTAAAGAAATTTATCGCCGACGGCTTGGCAGTTCCGGATGAGAAGATGGCGGCACTTAAAGCTGATAAGCATAAATGGCGTGCGATGGTTGAATCGCTAACGATTACCGATCTTTGCGATGATGATCTTGCTCCTTTTCCGGAGTTGGCGGATGATGCACCGGTGGAGGTGACCGAGGCTGGAGTGGAGGGAGATGGTGCTTAGGTTGCTGGTGCCTTGGTGATCTCTTTGAGTATGAGGATTTGATATTCGCTATTTCTTCTTTCAGTATTCGTAGATTTTGTCCGGCTTTTTAGCTTGTTGTAGCTTTTCGGATCGGCATTATGTACGGTTGGCCCCGTGTTGGGTTTTGTTGTATTGCGGATTTTTAAATGTACTATGGTTGTTTCGCGGTTGCGGCAGCTTCTTTTTATTGATGACGTTTTCAATTTATTCTTGGCTTTGCTTGTTATTTATGTTGTACTCATTGTAATTGTGGACTAGGTGCGATCTGCAGCTCGGCTTATCCCGTCTAGTCGCTTGACTTTTACGTGCTGAGAGAAGCTTTTTGTGCCTTTGTCATTTTTGATGCAAGGTTATTCTCGGCTGATTTTTGTGCGAGGTATCCTTGGCGTTTTAAGCTTAGTTTCGAAACGTATTGTGGGGCAAGACGTCTCTTGACTTATCCTGTATACGTTTGAGCCGGAACGATGAGCTTAGTAGAAAGTAGACTAGGCGGACTAGTCGTACCATATAGGTGCGGTTCTGGTGTCCGGCTTATCATGTGGGTGCTATGAGGTCGGCAAGAACGTGCAAGCCGGAGCTTGGCTTAATATGATTCGGCCGCCTGCTAGCTAATGCGAGACTGGCTCGGCTTTTAGTCCTTACCGAAGTAAGGATGTGGATTATTTCGCCACTGCATCCATGTGGAACGCGTTTAAATCGAACTCCTGGCCAGGGAGACGATGTGGGAGCTGGTCAATCGTCGAGGCGGACTCGTTCGAAAGAGCTCGTTCGTGGTAAGTATGTTGTCGTTGATTTATACATGTAATTTGACGATGTGGGAGCTGGTCAATCGTCGAAACGGTTTTTTTTTTTTTGTTATAGCTGTGCCCAGGAAGGGCTGCCTACGTATCCGTTTGAAGGGATCAAGCCAACCGTAGTTCGTTTTTTTTTTTTTTTTTTTTTTTTTTTTAGCTGTGCTCAGGAAGGGCTGCCTACGTACCCGTTTGAAGGGATCAAGCCAACCGTAGTTCGTTTTTTTTTTTTTTTTTTTTTTTAGCGCGAGGGAGGCGCTAGTAGTAGTAGCGCTTGAGGTTCGCGGAATTCCAAGAGCGAGGGATCGGGGTGCCGTCCATCGTTAAGAGTTCGTAGACGCCGGGTCTGACGACTTTGGAGACGAAGTATGGACCTTCCCAATGAGCGCCTAACTTTCCAGCATTTACTTCGACCGTGTTTTCGAAAACCTTGCGGAGTACGAGATCGCCTTCGGCAAAGTATCGAGATTTCACCTTTTTGTTGTAAAATTTCGCTGCGGCCTGCTGGTAGTTCTGGATGCGAAGGAGAGCTTGGTCGCGCTGTTCTTCGAAGGTGTCGAGGTTATCGAGGAGCATCTTGTCGTTGAGTGAAGGATTCCGGACGAGCATGGATCGTCTGATTGTAGAAAGGCCGACTTCAGATGGCGCCATGGCCTCCAGCCCATAAGCAAGCGAAAAAGGTGTCTGGCCGGTTCCTCGGCGTGGAGAGGTACGGTGGGACCACAACACACCATCAAGTTCGTCGGCCCAAACACCTTTTTTCTCCTCGAGACGCTTCTTGAGTCCATCAATGATGGTCTTGTTTGTTGCCTCAGCCTGGCCATTTCCTTGGGGATAACGGGGTGTGGACTTACTTATACGGATACGCCATTTTGCGCAAAAACCTTCGAACTGTAATGAGGTGAACAGAGTACCGTTGTCGGTAACGATCTCATATGGTAGTCCGTGGCGGCAAATGATATGCTTCCAAACGAAATTTTGAACTTCCTTTGACTGAATACGAGCATATGATTCTGCCTCAACCCATTTAGTGAAATAATCCGTCATGATCAGGAGATATTTCTTTTGGCGGGATGCAGGAAGGGGTCCGACGATGTCCATTGCCCAGCGCATGAACGGATATGGCGGTGTAGCAGTTCGTAAGAGTTCTGTTGGTGCATGAATAATGGGGGCGTGACGCTGGCATCTTTCGCAACGAGCAACAAACCTCTCGCAGTCCGAAATCATGGTAGGCCAATAGTGGCCATGTTTACGGATTCGAAGTGCTAATGCTCGACCGCCGGAATGATTACCGCCGGCGCCTTCATGGATCTCACGCATGACTTGGAGGGTCTCATCACCGGAGATGCAGGAGAGGAGCACTCCAGCAGCGGTCCAACGACAAAGATTACCGTCAAGGAGTGTGTATTGTGCGCTGCGCGCTCGTAGACGTCGAGCTGCCCATTTGTCAGCTGGCACGATACCATCGGCAATATAGTTGCGGATTTCTGTTTGCCAATCGGAGTCAACCGGGTCGGCTTGTGGAGTGATTGCAGATACATTGTTTGGTAGGACAAGTTGAGTGCTGGCGGAACGAGTTGAAGCTGTCGGTTTGTTGAGCAAGTAGACGATTGGATGCACGTTAGGACCGATGGCTGGTGCGGGCGGTACGGATGCTGCAATAGGTAGATCGATGCTAGGCTGATCGATGCGTTCGACAGGGATGATGCGATGAAGGTCGGGATCAGACGTGGATGCAAGTACAGCTAGCGCATCGGCGGGCGCATTGTCACTTCGTGGAATCTTATTGAGTTCAAAGAGTTCAAAGTTGCGGGACATCTCTCGGACGACTTTGAGGTAGGCGTCCATCCGGTCATTTTTAGCTTCATAGTCGCCACTGAATTGATTGGCAACAAGTTGCGAGTCACAATAAGCTTGGATTTTTTTGACGCCGATCCCGTGAGTGAGGCGTAAACCAGCGATCAATGCTTCATATTCTGCTTCGTTATTGGAAGCTGGAAATGCTAGTCGGAATGATTGCTCAAGAATTTCCCCTGTTGGCGACTCCAAACGTATACCAACAATCATCGTTTCCTAAACAGCGGAAGAAGGGCTTGGTCGTTCTCGTTCGTTGTGGTTGTTGAGGTTAAAACATAAGCAATCCCTGAACTAATCTGAAATTAACTAATAGTATTAATTAGCTCAAAGTGTTACTGAACTCACAAACTAAAAACTCATCCGATCCTTCTCCACATTTTTAACCAGAAATTACTGAATGAATAATTACTTTCTTACAATATAATCTTTTTTGTCATATAAATTTGTTATTAACTAGATCTCATACTTATGGTTCATACTTTTTTAAAAGAATCTAACTATAATAAAATGAGTTTCGACATATTTTAAAACTTAGATATATATAGGCCTTGAATGGTTACTAGTTTTTAAGTGGTTTTTGGTTTTTGTTTATGGAAAAATCTAATTTTTTACCATTCAAGAATTTTAAAAATTAGATTCCCTAAAATTTAGGAAAAATAGTTTTTGATTGGTTTCTCTAAATTTCAAAGAGAAACTTAAAACCATAATTTTGAGGGTTTTGTGGAAAACTTCTTTTTTCAACGTGATTATGTTTCATTTTTGATTTTTTAATTTTTATATTTATAGCAAAAAACCAAAAACCAAAATCCACTTAAAAACTAGTAAACATTCAAGGCCATAGTATCATTTTGATAATTTTCACTTTCATATGTCAAGCAATCAATATTTTCTCACTAACCTATATCCACCATGTTTTAACTACTCAATAACAACAGTCTTGTAATCGATGATATGACTCCAATTGTAAGCTTTGATTCTTACAATTTAGGCCGTAGATTTGTTGGCCTTGACCATGATGACTTTGGCAAAATAGTGTAGAAAAAAAATTATTGTCCTAAACAATGTTATGTTAGCGTAATGGTCTCACTAGCCCAACAAAAAAAATTAATTTGTAATTTGGGCTTTCCGTGTTACGTGCTTTGGGCTTTTAGTAACATACAAAGCCTGTTGTTATTCCTATTATCTCAGAATCAATTTTTTCTTTCAACATCTTGGATCATATTTTTTTTTAAGGTGCAATTGATTTTATTGATATATTGACCAGACCATCTCTCAATATTGATAAGATGTTATATACTACCAAATGAGCTAATCTAGAATAACTATGTAATTGATTGCTTGATGTAAATAAACCTAATTTTTATTTCAAATCATTCGAAATCACTAACTTCCACGTTTTGATAAAATTTTCCATCGAATGATAATGACAATTGAAAATAGCCACTTAATAAAACCAAATTATACATCGACTTCATGCATGTCAAATCTCAAATCTCCAAAGAAAAGTAGAAGTGTCTTTTATTCGCTCGACTTTCTCACAATTAATCTTAAGAATTCATTTTATATTCTGTCAACATCTTAAGAACTAAATTAACAAAAAAACACCAAAAAAACATCTTAGGAATTCATTTTAATTTGTCGAAAGAAAATAAAAATTTGGAATACGCACGTTCAATGTATATCCATTATTCTATTCAATAAAACGAACTAATAAAATCCAAATGCAGCTACAGTCTAGACTAACTATGTAATTGATTGCTTGATGTAAATAAACCTAATTTTTATTTATACTCTTTATATTTAAAAAAAAAAAAACAAAAGTTCAACTATATACTTTTTATATTAAAGATAGTTGAAAATTTTGGCAAGACTTGTAATATACGCAAAGGTTGCTTTAAGAAAAGTAGATCAATAGATAAATGGTTTAAGAACCAACGCAATTAGAGCGGCAATAATTGGTGCTACTGTTATCAACTTATCATCAACCAAACCCATTAACCTCTCTATCTTGCATTATTTTTGTTCACATTTTGGACCATAAAACATGTAGAACTTTTTAAGAAAACTTTACTGATATAATTCAAAAGAGGATAAGCCTAAACCCTAACACAAGGTTTCACTTTCTCTTAGACCACTTCATTTTAAATCCTCCTTTTTTGAGGTTGAAATGTCAATGATAATTTGATCAAAAACCAGTGCATTCCCAAATAAATTTTCACAATATTTACTTTGCTTTAATATATCCATGGCCCGATCTTGAGGTGTTCAATACAAACAAACAGAGCTCTTTACGATCCAAACCGAAAAATCTAGCCGAGTAACAGGCCAACTAAAATGGAAAAATATTTATCAGCTACACGAACGAGACTTCATCACATCGTTCACACATGCCGACTTTAAACTTGTCTCAGATAGCAATCCAACCTTTTGCTTGCACATAAGGACATCCCCGAACTAACATAAGTCATGTTGCAAACACCATAACCATCTAATTCCAGTGTACTGGTTGCCGGAATCTGGCGTTGACCACGTTGACCGGCATTGACCAAAAAATATTTTTTTTTCTTTTTTTACCACAAAATAATATTCAAACAACCGAGAAGAAAAAAATATTTTTTTGTGGTAAAAAAATGATTGCCAAAAGGAAAATGTATATTTTGCTATATTAACAAAATAAAAGTATATAAATTCATTTTTTCTATTATTTCTCTTTAATATATAAACACCATAATATATGCTTTGATTTGTGGTGTTTATATATATATATCAAAGGTCATATATTTTTTCAAAAGAAAAAGATATATTTTGTTTTTAAAAATAAAACCAACATTTGAATTTATAAGAAAATGATTGCCAAAAGGAAAAGGTATATTTTGTAACAAAATATAGCACATGAAAAAAATATAGCACAAGAAAAAAATTATGGTCTATTTTTTTGTATATTTAGTTATATTACAAAAAATTTATAAATTCATATTACACAAATTATATTACAAAATATAGCACAAGAAAAAAATTATGGTCTATTTTTTCGGTATATTTAGTTATATTACAAAAATATATAGAAAAATTTTGTTGTATAATTTTTTAATGGTATATTTATTTTTGCTATATTTTGTTATTACTTAAAATTACTTAATAATTTATTTTTTTTAAATTTATTTTTTTTTATCAAAAATAAATAAAAAGAAAAAAAAAATATTTTAAAAAATATTTTTGGTCAATGTCGGTCAATGTGGTCAACGCCGGATTCCGGTAACCGGTACACTGGAATTAGATGGTTATGGTGTTTGCAACATGACTTATGTTAGTTCGGGGATGTCCGTATGTGATAACAATAATTCGTGTAGCTAACGAAACATTTTTAAAGTCTGCATGTGTGACGATGTGATGACGTCTCGTTCGTGTAGCTGATAAACATTTTCCCAACTAAAATCTACATTGAACATCGATACCTTGATCATCATACCTGTCCTCTATTTTTTGAGCCAAACTATATCGGATTTCAACTTGGAATCAAACCGAATGAAACCGAAATCAAACATTGGTACTTAAAAGAGCAGAAGAAGAAACCATTATGTTTGTAGCACAAAACAAATAAACTAGGTCTCACATATATATCAATAACTCAACAGGCAAAACTTACAAAGATTGAGAGAAAGCTTACGAAATCGAAAACATCTAAAGGGCTTTTCAAAGACAATCCTCATTTAGAATAAACACCTAAATGAGAAACAATTGCCTTCAGAAAACCCCACCTGAGGTTTACAATTTCGATCTCACCTCTCTATCTTCTCCACAACATCAAAACCATTATGTCAACAAAACTTTCTTTAGTAACACCAACACACAAAACTGCATCTGCTTCTATCTTTAGGGTTATTGCTTCCCCTGAGATTAACTGCCTCTGCTGTACTGTAATAACTTTAGACAAAACCGAAAGAGCTTTTTTACGTTGCTCCTATAGCTAATAATAACACCTAGCTGCAAAACTTATGGGCACGCGATATTAAGAGGAGTGGTAGCGGCTGTTGCGATATGATCAACGAAAGCGTACTTTTCAATGGTGGTTCCAATGAGACCAAGATCGATCTCCACGTCTGAGAAATCATAGTCTGGAAGTTCGCTTGGACCGTCACATTCAAGACCAATGATGTCCAGATCATCTATGCCGCAGTAATCATCCAACATTTGGTTGTTGTTCTCTTCTGTTAAGAGAAAATCAAGCTCACACGCATTTGGGATTAATGACTCATCAATGAAGCAACCCAAGTCAGGAATCTGTAGATCTGCAAAGTCGAAATCAAAAGTCGCTTTCTTCGATTCACCAGCTTGCGGATCAAGGGTCGAATCAACTAGCATCTTGTCAAGATCAATGCTTGACACAGCTTCAACATTAGACCCTGAAGCTGAGATCATAGAACCAGACTCATTTGAATCTGACAAAACAGAGGAAGCAGCAGAAGTGGCTGCAGCCAAAGCATCAAACTCAAGCTTCTTAGCAGCATAAGCATTAGCTGCTTGTTCAAGCGTCTCGTAAGTACCCAACCAAGTTCTAGTTTTAGTGATTGGATGTCTAATCTCAGCAGCCCATTTACCCCATTTCCTCTGCCTAACACCAACAGGCTTCGAGACACTAGAAGAACGTCCAACGACCGGCGACACTTTGCTGCTAAAAACCTTTTTGCTACAAGCTGAGATTTTGGATTTGCTTCCACCATTATTACTACTCTCCTGACAAACTGAGCTTTCAGATTCTGCTTGAGTAGCGCCTTGAGCGAAAGGAAGATCAATCTCACAGACATAACGTTTCCTTCTCTGAACCCTTTCATCTTCTTCGCTTGATGAATAGTCAGTAGCGTAAGGATCATTCACAACGAAACGGAGTTTTCTCATAGTCTTCAAATCTTCAGATAAACCTGGGAGGTGATTTAGCTGAAAAGTTTTCTTCTTCATGGGTTTTTTGTGGGGTTTATTGGTTTGAATAGAAGAGCGCTTCTTTCGTTCAGCCATTTTATCGAACACTTGATGTGCGAAATTCAAACCAAACCCCCTAAAACCCTAAAGAACTTCTCTCAAAATTCCCAGAAAAAGCTTCAAATCAACAAATGAACTCTCTCAAGAACAAGAAAAGTCCTCCAAAATTGTTGACACTAGAACAAGTCCTGTTTCAATAACCAGCAAAAACACACCAACCCACTTCAGATTCGAACAGAGAAACTATGAAAATCTTAAAAAGGAACAAACTTTATCAGACCCAGTTACCTTTTAGGCCTTAAACGCATGGAAATAGATGAAATTGTGAGAAATCAATATGTGAGAGAGCCAGTAGATGAAGCTTGATGAACCAGAGAAACAGAGCATAAAGCGATTAAGAAGAAGACGAAGACGAAGAAGGAAGAAAAGTAGAAGAGAGAGAATAGTCGGAGCTCCGGTTCAACAATCCCGGCGACTTCAAAGATCCTTCTCTCTCTCACTCCTCAGCTCTTCGAGCTTCCCAAAAGTGAAAAAGAAGAGTGAGAAGATAAAAGATTCAAAAAGAAGAAGAAGAAGAAGATAAAGTAAGAATCAAAACGAATCGAAAACAGATGACAAATCTATGGCCAAGATTTTTTCTGGCTCTCTATACCAAAGACAAAACTTTAATTTATGTCGGAAAAATAAAAAGTTATGTAACTGGTAAATGAGAAATTTAAGAGACCGAGGAATTTAAAAAGATGTTAAAAATCTAAAAAAAATGATTGTTCAAACACAGATCTCAATAAAAATTTAATAAAAGCATTAAAATAAGAAAAAACGTATATGGGAAATTAAATTCTTTGTTTTATTAGTTTTTATCTTTTTGTTTTTTTTTTGCTGGACAGTTTTAATTCATATGGGTTCGGATTGGTGTAACTGTTTTTACAATATGGTAACAAAACATACTACTCCAAATTTGGAATTATATGATGGACATATGGTAAATATATTTAGTTTGAGAAAAGAATAATGTACTTTGTGTCCAATTTTTTTTTTTAATTATAATACATGACAATTACTTGTTACTGCTATTGCACTGTGCCACTGTGGGTATTTGGCTCTATGAAATAAAAATAACATATCTATTCGTTTTTTAATTTGAAAAAGAACAAAGAGAGTGACTATTAAGGGCTTGATTGGTTCTCCCGCTACCACCCGCAAACGCAGCGTTTGCGGGCGGTTGCGGTTACTAGCGTTTAAAACCAATCATAAAAAACGTTTTATACCGCTCTGAACCGCTCTAGACCGCTCCGAACCGCCGAATTCAAAAGCTCCTTCCCGCAAGCGTTTGCGGTTGCGGGCGGTAGCGGTTGGCAAATTATTATTTTTTTTATTATTCAAATCCTATACATATATTAAAAAATACATAAATAACAAATAAATTAAAAAAAAAAAAATTATCAAACCCTATATATATTAACGTTAATTCTCAAAACCCTAATTTTTTCTATTTACAAAAATTCAAGAATGACAAAATACAAACTAAGTATTGTAATAAAATTATTAATCTAGAGGATCTAAGAATTCAAAACATCTATTTTTTTAGTTTGTCATATTTTTTTTTTTTGTAATTTGTTATATTACTTGATGCTGTTTTTTTATGAACCAAATGCATGAAGTAATAAGCACTTAACTATGAAATATATTATTTTGAATAATTATGTAGTAATTTTATATATTTTATTATTATTAATTGTATATAAATTTTTTTGTATTTTATCATAATAATATAAATATTTGGTGTTTTTATACTTTATTATATAATTATCTATTATATTTCTTTTGATCATTTTCGATTTAACCGTTGTCGCATCCGCTGGTTAACCAGTCATAAAACTCCCGCAAACGCACCAATTTTCAACCGCTTAACCAGTCGTTCAAAATGCATCATAACGCTTGAAACCGCAACTGCCCGCTTCCGCAAACTCCCGCAGACGCAACCGCGTCCACTGCGTTTAAACCAGTCAGGCCCTAACTACTCCCTCATTGTTTTTGCGATAAGATGTTTTAGTGAATTATTTATTATTCATATTATTTGATGTGATGTATACTTGTAGTACCATTTAACTCATTTTCCCAAATTGACTCTTAAGAAAAAATTCAAAACAATTTTTTAAATCAATTATAGATTTTTATATTTTTTGCATTCAACAATAATATCTTACAAAAAGATCTTTTAAAATCAATTATAGATTTTTATATTTTTTGCATTCAACCAAAATATCTTACAAAAAGATCGAGGGGTATAAGTCAACTCCACTAATTAACATGAGAATTGGAGAGGTTAATTAATTAAATTAGAGGTAGTTTACTTTTTTCAGTGTCTTGATTGTGCTAAAGAAGAACAATTTCGAACGTGGAGCCGTGGAGGATTGTTACATCCCCACATTTGCTAGTTGCTACCAACCGAGGGACTTTTCATCATAATTCACAAGTCTTCTTCCCATCTTTAGTGGATATAAATAAATACAATGAGAATAATTCACAACACAAAACTCTTTTGAATAACTCGATTTTTTTTTTCAACACTCAAACATTTCATTAAGTCAATTGTCCTATTTTTTTGGGTCAACTAAGTCAGGGGTTAAGTTAGGTTACTCATCTTTTACAGGGGTTACATATTCAGTAATATAACATTAACTAGATCACTCTAATAGCTTGCAAATTGTTTTAAGTTCAATATGATTTGAACCGATCCATTTTAGAGGTTAGAGGTGGAGATCCAACGGTGAGTTCTTCTCGGTTTGAGCTGAAATATAGGGTTGTTTGAGACTGCATATTTCTAGGCTTTTGTGTTCTCTTTCTTATTGTTGGAGATTGCTCTCTGTAGCTTTATTCTCTGGTGGACGTGGTTGTACTCAAATACATTGGTGATAGTGGAATTTTGAGTGGACTACGGTCCCGTGGTTTTTTACTCCTCACATTGAGGGGGTTTTCCACGTATAATTTGGTGTCTCATTTACTTTACGTTTTTAAGTTTTGCTGCAAGTTTATTATATTTTCTTCACATACATAAGTGCGGGTGAAACTTTATTCCGTTGCGCTATTGTGCGTCGTTTCCCCAACAAAGTGGTATCAGAGCACTGGTTTAATAACTTTGGGTTATTGGTTGCTTTTGTGAGCGATAGAAAATATGCGCAGAATGATAAGCTTGAATGGGTCTAATTATCATCTATGGAAATGCAAGATGGAAGATTTGCTTTTTGTGAAGGAATTTCATGTTCCTGTCTTTGAGGAGAGGAAACTTGAAGATAAGACAGATGATCAGTGGAAGTTGCTACATCGCCAAGTGTGTGGTTTGATAAGGCAATGGGTAGATGATAATGTGTCGAATCATATTGAAACTGAGACTAATGTTGAGTCCCACGCGTAAGAGGCAGTCCTCTTGAGTCCCCAGAATCCAACAAAAACGAGCAAGGGACCTAAGGTTCTGGAAAATGCCCTAGAGGCGGTCTGCTGATCATTGGCCCGGGCTTTTGAAAACACTGACTCTTCTCCCATTGCCCATCGCATCACATAGCAATCGGCCCTCTTTGTAGCCGCCACCAACTTGATGAGCTTCTCCACCTTTTTAGAGGAAGGGTTCCACTTCTTCAGACGACGCTCAATCCGAAAAACAGATGCCTCGATGATATACGCGTACAATTGGTTGTCTGTGGCCTCATTGGCAGCATCCTGAAATATTTAGAGATGAATTTCATTGAATTCATTCAAAACACAATAGGAAATGTTATTCAAAACCAATTTCAATGAATTTCCTTACCTCGACATTGACATTGTGACCTGGAATCAATAAATAAAAAAACAATAACATCAGAAATAGAATATCCAAAAATAAATTCCCATAAATCTCACCAATCGAACATCAAAAAATATATTCCCATAAATATCAACAATAATCAGCAATCAAATATCCAAAAATAAATTACCATAAATATCAGCAAGAATATCCAGTAAGAAATTCCCATAAATATCAACAATCGAATGAATATACCGCAACTTGCCAAAAATGAATCCCATAAATCTATATATATAATAGGAGAGTCTTCTCTCCATCTATCATATCCACCTAAGCATCCACCTAAACAACATAATTTATTATAGCATTAAAATAAATTTAAAACATTCATTTACTACATATTTATTTGACTTATAATTAATAAAAAAAAGTAAATAAATAAAAAAAGAATTATGTAAAATAAATGAAATGTTAATATAATAAATATAATAATATTCAAATTTTATTAGTAGTAATAATATAATTTAACTTTTATTAGATAAAACTTAAAAATAATCATACTTCAAATTTTTGAATGTGATAATGAGTTTTAGAATGAAAGTAATTTAAATGCATAGTGAAAAGAAGTATAAAACTAAATATATGCAATTCCATATGTAAGATTTTAAACAAGAACATTAAATTTAAAGTAACATTAGTTTCTAAGAACAATATTCTATATATTTTTATTTATTACATAAAGAAAAATAAAAATTATTAAATTCAACGTAAAATTGATAATTTAAGCCGAAGATATTGCAAAAATCACATTTTATCTTGTGAAATTATAAAAACAAATCTTGAAAATTTTAAAACATTATCATCCATCTTTAAAAAATAAATAATCAATGATCATATTATTCATGAGTTTTACAACAAAATATACAAAAAATGATATGTAATTAAGCTGTTAGAAAAAATATGATATGTAATTTGTGTAGCATATTCGCAAGTTGAACTATAACTTTATAACATGATAAAAAAGAAAAACAAGTTTGGTATTTCATCAATTAAATGAAATGCTTTTAACCCAAAAAAATTGAGTATTGAAAGATAGGAATTAAGAAGAAAATAGTTATGATATGTCTTGAAAATTAATTCACTGTCCAATATATATTATATGTGAGTCAATAGAATGTGAAAAGAAATTAGATGTCAACAGGCAATGAGTTTATCATAGAAGATGACGAGATAATTTGTAGTTAAAAGTATTTGAAAATAAATTTCTAAGACTTAGAAAGATAATACACATGACTAAGGTAAAATGTTTGAGATCATTAATTGTGTGAAATGAATGAGTTTTTAGAGAAATAAATGACATAAATTATTAAACAGATTATTAGATTCAAACTTGGGCTTAACCGTTTAGTCATGTAATCATGCAAAGTGAGATAAGATAGACACAATTGATGACTTAGGCGATAATTATCTTATGGCGCGCTCAACTTGCTTCAATGGGTAAAACAAGTTCGCTAAAGCTGTTCTACCAACATGGTACTATATATGTACATTTACACTAAATAATGTTCATGAAACTCGGTATATTCGCATTTTATAGGGAATGATGTTATGTTCGTATCAACATTTAATCATAAATAATATCTACAATTAGGTCAACAATCGATAATTAACTTCAAAACTTTTTTAAAAAAATGTCTTCATGGAATATGAAGAAGAAATAAACTCTTTTAGAGATAAGATAAATGGGTCATTAGATTGTGGTCGATACCTTTTATTCTTTTCGCGAATTTTTTAAGTGATCTTTGTTACAATATGATATATATCAAACTATTAATTTGTCAAGAAAACAATATCGTCGACATTATATATGTTGTATATCACT